ACTGATCTGAGGGAATATGTGAATTTCCCGCTTCTACTCTCACTTTCTCCCATAAATTTGTTTGCCATGCTTTAGCAAAAAAGTGGAGTCGTCGCTTATAGGTGATACTGACAGTGGATGCGTCGACTGAAAATGTGGGAGGTGTAAGAGATAGTTGGAGCATCACCTTATAATGCTTTCATGGGAATTGCAGGTGAAGGATCTGAACTACGATCATATCTGCCATTTCGTAGGTGCTTGCATTGAACCGCAGCACCTTTGCCTGGTCTACGAGTATTGTCCCAAGGGGAGTCTCAAAGATGTCTTAGAGGATGAACAGATCAAGCTGGACTGGATGTTTAAATTCTCCCTCATGCAAGACATCTGTCGGGTGGGTATTGTCTCAGCAAGTGTTTACACTGCCATAATCCTTGTTGTTAATATTGTGCACCCCTCTCGCTCCCCATAGGGTATGATATATCTCCACCACAATCTGGGCCCTCATGGCAAACTGAAGAGCACCAACTGTATGGTGGATTCCCGCTTTTCCCTAAAGATCACTGATTTTGATTTGCATCTTCTGCGAGGACCACCTCATGAGTCCAAGGATCCGACTACCCGTTATCGAAGTGCGTCAATCTTCAAACCCCAGTAAATCTTTCCTCCACTCACTGAAAATCAGGATTCTGAACTTTTTCCCCATAATAACCTATCTAGTTGTGATCCTCCCTAATGTTAGAAGGTCGCTACAAAACTCAAGGGCTGTTACGTAATCTAGGCTTTGTAATGTCGAATCTGCAAAGTGAATGTTTCGTTGCTGCTTACGATGAGACTGTTCTTGATGCTCTGGCGCTCCATAATCCGGGTTACTCGAATGGTCGATCTGTGTTGACAACGAAATTATCGGCGATAAAGTTCGATCCCTTTGAAAACTCCATTCCATCTCCATCATGGGATGCTATCGAAATAACCGATAGTAGTTAGCACTTTACCGAAAGACATTTATCTTCCCTTTTGAGGTTGCTATCTTGCGGCTTTGCCTCAAGAAGGAAATCTTGTTGGGAATGGTTGCGAAACTCTTATCCATCCTCCGTAAGAGTGATCGCTCCACTTGATTCCGGTTTGGCACATCCTGTCTGATATGTTTCGTTTTCTTAAGATTGGGCTTTCTACATGGCTCTCTTGCTGAGGTTAATGGATCCACAGGGCCTGGCGCGTTTGTTGACTCATAGGCGCCTACTTGCTCATGCTCGTTTTACGGATTTGTTTCTGATTTACCGCGTGTCCCACTCCCAGTGAATTTAATCGTATTAGATGCTTGGTGGATGAGACTAAGGCACTTTGTTTGGCAATGGAGACTTACTGAACCAACCTTTTCCTCCTGGCAAGACGTTCATTGGCATGACGGCGTCACGAAAACATCTCACTAATACTTAACCTGTCGCTTGTCCATTTCATTTTGAGCTGCGGAACACAGCAATGTTCATGCAAATGCAAGGGAAATCGCTTGCAATAAAACGATGCTCAAATGCACTTTGTTAGTGTCCAAGGCATATTGCTTTTCTATTTGTCTAGGACTTTTCTAACGCATAACTTTGTGGAAAACCACAAATTCGGAGAGCAAGCTATTTTATGATTTCGTAGAGGGATACTCCGCTGACTTTCGAATCGACTTTGAAAACCGGTTTCTTTGGTTACAAGTTTTAGGCATGGCTCTGAAATGACAATGATGGGCTTCTAACTAGCCAAAAGAAATGATCAAAGTGAGGTGCTGGGAAGATG